TTGATTTCACCCTATGGAGATGCTTATTTTGTAACTCCTAAATTATCCATCTTTGAGACGTTAGATATGCTATAGTTTTTTTTATTTCTTGCAAAATTACCCGATACACGCATATGTTCACAAACATGCATGTGCACTCACTCCTATGAACGATTTCAATTTCCATCCAATCCTTTTCTACTACAAAAGCAATGATGACTAGCTTACAAAATCCTAATTGTATCATTTGCGTATATATGGATGAATCACCAATTTAGTTATTCAGTTCATTTTTACCCCTCTCGCCCAACAAAAAACAAACCTTTGTAGTTTTGATTCTAGTTCATCATGCTTTGGGTGATAAGTGTATTTTCAATGCATTATTCCTAATTTGAATGTGAAATATTTTGGTGCGATCTGCACAACAGTGTTTGTCTCTCTCTCTCGCTAAATCTTTTCCTATTTCGAGTTACGGCTAATAATTTTTTCCTTGTTTGTGAGAAACTTAATTTCAAATTATTGCGGTGTCATTCAACGAGTAATGATGGTGGGAGGAGGTTTGGGCAAGATATATCTCAATTCTAGTAAGAAGCTTTTCTAATTTAGAGTGGGTATTAGCCCAAGAGATGATGTTCTGAAGCAATGGTGTTGGACGTCCTTGGCCATTGTACCTCTACACAATGGCTTAAGATTATGGTATATCGATATCGTATTTGTTACTGTTTCATCTATTGATATATTCACTCTTTAGTTTCGAAGCGAATTCTTCTAGTCATATGCTTGAGATTGGCGCTAGTGTCAAACATGAATGATAAAGTGTCACACTTCGCCTTCTTCTGTAGGACACAAGTAGAGAAATGTACTAAGCAAGTTGCGTGTGACCACCTAACAATAACCAAGTAAAAACCGAAGTATCATGTTGCCTGACCTTGAAGAACTAGAAGTTGAGAGGTTTAGTGGAGAAGATCATGAAGCTGATTGGTTGAAAGTGATATTCAGAAGCGCAACTATGCTTCAAAGGGTGAACTTGTACTTCTCTAGTGATGTTTCACCAGAAAGTTGTAGTGTGTACAAAGAACTCCCAGCATTTTAAATGTTTATCCTTCGGTGAAATTTACTATTTACCGCTGGTACCGTGACCCAATCTTGTTTCAATGATAAAGATGCTCCTGTAGGTAAAAATATATATGCCATTACAAAACTTCATGAGTTATCACTAGTTGTTGATGTTTTCTCTGAAGTGCTATCGAATTTTGTTATTAGCTCAATGTGTGTTAATAATGCTGATTTCACCCTATGGAGATGCTTATTTTGTAACTGCTAAATTATCCATACTGAGAGGTCAGATGTGCTATAGTTTTTTTATTTCTTGCAAAATTACATGATACACGCATTCGTTCACAAACAGCATGTGCACTCATTCCTATGAATGAATTATATTTCCATCCAATCCTTTTCTACTACAAAAGCAATGATGACTAGCTTACAAAATCCTAGTTGTATTATTTGCGTATATTTGGATGAATCACCAGTGTAGTCATTCAGTTCATTTTTGACCCCCTTTGTCCAACAAAAAACAATCCTTTGTAGTTTTGATTCTAGTTCATCATGCTTTGGGTGATAAGTGTAGTTTCAATGCATTATTCCTAATTTGGATGCGAAATATTTTGGTGCAGTCTGCTATAGTGTTTTCCTCCTCTCTCGCTGAATTCTTTCCTGTTCTGAGTTCTGGCTAATAAATTTTTCCATGTTTGTGAGAAACTTAATTTCAAATTATTGCAGTGTCATTCAACTTTGAGTAATGATGGTCGGAGGTTTGGGCAAGATATATCTCGAATTCCAATAAGAAGCTTTTCTAATTTAGAGCTGGGTATTAGCCCAAGAGATGATGTTTATGGAGCAATGGTGTTGGACGTCCTTGGCCATTGTACCTCTATACAAAGGCTTAAGATTATGGTATATCGATATCAGGTATCTGTTCTATTCATCTATCGATATATTCACTCTTTAGTTTCGAACGAATTCTTCTAGTCATATGCTTGAGATTGGCGCTAGTGTCAAACATGAATGATAAAGTGTCACACTTCGTCTTCCTGTAGGACACAAGTAGAGAAATGTACTCTGCAAGTTGCCTGTGTGACCAGCCTAACAATAACCGAAAAAAACCAAAGTATCATGTTGCCTAACCTTAAAGAACTAGATGTTGAGAGGTTCAGTGGAGAAGATCATGAAGCTGATTGGTTGAAAGTGATATTCAGAAGCGCAACTATGCTTCAAAGGGTGAACTTGTACTTCTCCACTGATGTTTCACCAGAAAGTTGCAGTGTGTCTGGACAGTGTGAGTTTGAGGTTTTTCAAGGTGACTTAGAGCGCCACGGTGGGTGAATGTGACATCGCTGGGGATGACCAGATGATTTTCCTCGGACGTTCATGCTCCAGGGCCGTGACCGCATCTCAGTATGGTATGCCTGGTGACCAAAATCTTCTTCTTGGATGATGTTATGGAGAACTGCAAGTACTCCTTTGATGAGGAGACCACTTCTGTCAGTGTCTATGACATGAGAACCGGCGAGGTCTCCTCCCCTCTGCCGATGATCTGGAAGCACGAGATGATTCTTGCTACATGGTTGTTCCCTTAGGACTGAAGTGAAGAGGTTTTCTTTGACCATTGTATGGCGATTAAGTACTCCTAAGCTATGTTAACTTCACCAGTATTTGTCTGGCCTTGTTGTGCTGCCTACTTCTTTTTTGGGGAAATTTGGTAGTCCTGTGCTGATGCAGCCTGTGAAATACATTTAACACTTAATTATCTGGCCATGGTTTGATCCATGAGTGGTACCTGTAAGAACATCGGAGTTGCCTATGGAAGTGCAATGCTCATGTAGTGAACTTATCGTGATGAATTTGTGCTAATCGTTGGGCATGTCTATCTTGTGATGTATATATGCATCTGTTCTTCATTCTGCAGGTTGATTGTGTGTTTTGTGATTCATAATTGCTTGCATTGTAGAATGTAGATCTATAGCACTTGGCGTCTTATTTAGCCAAGCTCCAGGTTGACTGATGTTTATACTAGTAACAACCTTGCAAGTGACAGTGTGGCTGATGGGCATGTTGTGTTGTATCCATAGATTGTCCACCACATGTTAACCATTGATGTTCTCCGTATCACATTCCAGGATGCTAATGTGCTTAGGATGGTTTTGTGTTAAGAGTAAAAAATGGTTTGTAGCTGTTTCCTCAGCTTGTGTTTGGGTCATGTGTTGCTGCTCATTGAAACTGATGCTTGTGATCTCCTGCAAGCTAAGCTGGAACAGAATTCCCCTCCACTGCTAGTAACTTTTAATTCTGGTTAATCTTGATGCAACTGCATGCTTTTGCGTTACATAATAATAACACTTTGCTTCCATTTTTCAAGGACATGTCCTTTTCTTTAAGACACTAGCATATCTTATCAAAGAAGACATGTAGATTTTTTGTGAAACAGCAGCAAAGATTTTACTAATTAGGCATCATATCTTCAAGTCATAATTGATTGTAACACCGTTTTGATAGGGTTTGAATTCCTTCTCTTAACTTTACTTTCGACTATGAAAATGGCGCGATGCTTTCTTTATTTGTACCAGTTCACATCATCGAGGAGAAGAGAAGAAAAGCACAAAAAGTCACTTATCTGTGACCGGAATGAGCATTAGTGCAAAGGTTGCTCTTGATTCTTGAACTAATTCCATTCTGAGATTGATTGCTGCTGTCACATTTATTGTCAACGTACGGACGTTAACAGCATTGATATGTGGCGCAGAAGAGAAATGTAATGTACCCTCTGTTCATGACCCATGCACAACTGTTTGCTATTTGCACGAACCACATTTCAAATTAGTGCGTCGTCGTTTGTTGCTCGATCACTGAATGTGTTGCTATCCTTATTGTGACTTGTGCAGCTCCAAACGAGAAAGATCTGTTCTTCTTCTTGTTTTCCTGAGGTAAAACATGGAGCCTTTTCCTCGTTAGCGCGGGGAAGCGGCTCTGGGCGGCTCATTCGTCCAGCAGCTGCAGGGCTTGGCTCCCCACCTGCGCAGCCGCACATATAACTCCTGCCGCCACGGCGATCTCTTGTACGCTAGCTGCCTGCCTGCCTCCACTCCACATCTCCCTTCTCCTCCAACGCTTGCTGCGTCCTCCCTTCGTCCCTCCTCTCAAATGACATTCGTGCGCTGCTCTGAAACCTGTCTCGTCGTGTGGAGTGTGCACGGCGCGCGAGGTGCTCGACGTATTGCCTCTGTGGGCAACGCGCAGTGATGACGTACTCGCGCGTGCTGCTGTCGTGCCTCGCTACCTGTTCTTCCAGGTTTGACTCGGTCATGGCCGTGGTGGTGACCTTGCGCGCTGGGTAAGGGCAGCTCTCCCGTCTTCTGATGACAACACTTAGGTACTTAGGCCATGGAGTACAACTCTATCTTCTCTATTGAATAGCAACTCTTTTTTACAAAATGAGAAACATCACCAAATTGATTTGCAAGCAAACATTTCCTCCTTGGTTACCAAAAGCTAAAGCCACAATATATATAGTGCTTGTTTAGTTCCCAAAAAGTGGTACAGTAGTCATCACATCGAATCTTGCGATACGTGCATGATTCCCAAAAAGTGCTACAGTAGCCATCACATCGAATCTTGTGATACGTGCATGGAGCATTAAATGTAGACGAAAAAAAACTAATTGCACAGTTTTGTTGGAAATTGCGAGATGAACGTTTTGAGCCTAATTAGTCCATGATTGAACACTAATTGCCAAATAAAAACGAAAGTGCTACCGTAGCCAAATTCCCAAAATTCGCGAACTAAACACAGCCATACTTGGTATGAAAGTCGATATATTTCCTTGATTGCTTATAAGTCTAGTATGTCAAAATTATTTTTAAAGTAGAGTCACGAGTACAAGGTTTATACTGATAGGATATGCTATAAATGACAATATTCTCATGGATTGCTAAACCTAAGTTTGAGGTAAGACTAAATGTCAGTCATGTTGGTGACCCTCCTGTGACCGCATTGAGTAGTCTTGGCAGTGGTGGCATACCGAGCTCAGAAAGACCCTCAAGAAACTGCACCACCTCGGCCATGGTCGGTCGAGCAGACTCATTTTCCTGAATGCACCAACATGCAACTTTGCAAACCCTTTCAACCTCATTCAGATTCACATCACCGTGCAGCTTTTCATCCACCAGACTCCCAACCTCTCCACTGCGAAGCTTGCGTGCAACTTGCATAGGGAAGAAGCTTGAATAATCCCCATCCCCAAAGTACTCTGGACTCGAGTTCTTCCTTCCTGATATGACTTCAAATAAAACCATCCCATAGCTGTATACATCGACCTTAGATGTAATAGCTGTTCCACCAATCCATTCAGGCGCGAGGTACCCAATTGTTCCTCTCATTGTAGTGATTGCATTGCTAAACTCTCTCCCCAGAACCTTTGCCATTCCAAAATCTGCAATCTTAGGTACAAAAGATGCATCGAGAAGTATGTTCTCCGGCTTGATATCACAATGTATGATGCAATCCCGACAACCAGAGTGCAAGTAGGCTAGGCCTCTGGCAACTCCAATAGCTATCTGATACCTGAGATTCCAATCCAAAACTGTACCATTAGCCTTGAATAAATGCAAATCAAGAGAGTGATTTGGCATGTATTCATACACAAGCAGCCTCTTATCATCTTCGCAGCAGAATCCGATCAGCTTGACCAGATTGATGTGGTGGATGATTCCAACTGAATTGACTTCTGCTCTGAACTGCTTCTCTCCTTGATGGGCACCGTCAAGCCTTTTCACTGCCAAGGTAACTGAGTCACCTAGGTACCCCTTGAATACAGAACCAAAGCTGCCTCCTCCTAACCTTTCTGAGAAGTTTCTAGTTGTACGCTGCAAATCGACATGTCGAAACGCAATGATTCCGATGCCACCCTGAGGATTTTCGAGTGTGCTAGTAAACCACTTCCCTTTTCTCCTCCAAATCATCAGACCAAGGATGACCACCAGGATCAAAGCGGCAGCGCTAGCACCGACAGCGACACCAGTGGCAACACCAACGCTGATTCCTCTCTTCCTCCTTGCCACACCGCTCGCCACCTCCTTTGCAGCAAGGCGGATGTGAAGTGTTTCCCCATTGCCATCAGAAGAAGCATCAGACTGCCGTTTCACATTGTACAGTTTCCCATGCCAAACAGAGCAGTCTCCATTCCAGTGGGAATATGCAGTGCAGGAGCAGTCACCCAAGCAGATCTCTGAGCAGTCATCTCCACTCGTAGCAGCCTGCACTTTCGTCGCGTCTTGAGGCAGCCTGACGCCTTGCACGGCAAAGAACTTGTCTGTGAGACCTGCTGTCCTGTTCGTCTCACTACTTCCACAGCCTAACTGCGTGTTCCTCGCGCACCCGTCTCTTCGGTCCCCGAGCTCCCAGTCCCTGGGCGATCTCACCGAGAAACCCCTCATGCAGCTGCAGACCGGGTCCGCGGCGTCGTCGCAGACCGTGAAAGGCCCACAGGTCGCGTAGACGTCGCACTGAACCACAGGCTGCCTGTAATTGATGAGCCAGTCCTGCTTGCTGTCCAGCCAGAACCCCACGAGCCCTCGGCCAGAGACATCCAGCGCGGTGTGCACGATCGCCGTGTCGTCGTGCAGCGTGTACATGAAGTAGATCTCCTCGTCGTTGTTGACGAACCTGAAGTTGGGCATGACGGCGCCGATCATCTCCGGCGCCAGGCCGAAGTAGTTGCCGTTCCACTCCCCGCTGGACCAGTAGGCGACGGTGGAGTTCCAGAGGAGGTGGCCGACCCCGTCGCCCTCCGTCATCTCCAGCGAGTAGAGGCCGGGCGCCTGGTCGAGCGCGTTCTTCCTCGACACGAGGCGGCGGTTGAGGCCGGTGCGCTTGTTCCACCCGATCTTGGCGCCCGCGAAGAGGGTGTCGGTGGGGTAGTCGAAGCTCTGCCAGAAGACGTCGGAGGAGTTTGAGGAGCTCCTCAGGACGAGGTTGCCGCTGCTGAGGAGCACGGCGACGGTGGCGTTGGTGTTGCTGGTGTTGTTGGCGCGGGTGGACCAGATGACGGACCTGGTGGCCTGGTCTCGGATGACCAGGTTCCCGTCGCCGGAGATGGCGAGCTCCGGTGTGGCCGGGTCAACGACGGGGCTCTCGCCGTTGGCGCTCCAGAGCGGAGTCAGCTTGGGGACCTTGTTGAACCATATGCCGAGGTAGGTGTCGGGGGACTTGATGTCCGTCTTGAAGAAGCCGAGCGCGAACTTGCTGTTGTTGGAGACGAGCCTGGCGGCGCCGGTGAGCGCATTGCCCGGGGACACCGTGTCGGTAGTGGTAGTGGTGGTGGCCGCGGAGCACGGGCGCGGAGCCGCGCGCAGGGAGAGGAGGAGGAGGAGGCCAAGGAGGAGGACGTGGAGGGGACGCATGGCGGTAGATGAGACGAGATGGGGAGCGAGCAACAAGCAGGGCAAGAGCTGGAGACGGGTTCTCTGGTTCGGACATGGCACCACTGGGAGGATTGTGAATAGAGTGATTAGTCCAGCTCGCATCGCAGGTCAACGACTCAACGCGATGCGCTAGCTGTGGGTGCACGTTGCAATCAGTAGTATGTGTAAACAAATGGTAGTGTCGTATGCTTCAACGACTCGGAGAAATATGATGATACTCTAGAAGTTTATCAGGATGATCGGATCGTCAGACCTCTGACGCTTGGGGACCAAGAAAGCCTATTTGTTATATATAGGAGAGTGTTATGTTATTTTAAGAGAGAACTCGGAACAATACACAATCGTTTTCAATCTGTAGCGCGCCGACCGCAGATTTGGATCACTAGCCTCGATGAGTCTTGACCAACATTGCTGCCGCAATCGGAGACCCCTTTTCAGACGGCGGATTATTGTACGTGTACATAGACAGGATATGTAGGTGAATGAAAAAGGAAGTCCTTCTCCCTCCAACCAACGTCCTGTTCGTTTAGCTTATAAACCGTACTTTTTCAGTCAACGAACATTATTTTTCTCTCGCAACAAATCAGACAACAGTACTTTCAGCCATGCCTTATCAACCAAGCGAACGGGCAAAATAATGCAGATCGGAGGGGAGATGTTGATTATTGCACGCCGAAATGATGAATACGAGGCTCAACTCGATCTGAATGCAGTGTCGCCGGAGTCATGGCTCGTACCGTAGTCCTCGCTTCCCTCAAGTCAACTACGGGAGGCGGCACCCCGTGAGCAAGACGCAGTGGCAGAGCCAGACTGGTAGTGGAGGCCTGGAGGAGATGGTGGATTCTGGGGCCGGGAATGCTGGCGGCGACCAACGCCGCAACGCATAAGGGCGCTGTCCGCCTTTGGGATTGGCCGCTTGGGCTTCGGCTTGGGTGGGGGTGGACCACGAACGATGGAGGGCGAAAGGGGAAAAAAAACGGAAACACTTTGGGCCGTTCGAACGCGGCTTCCCACTTCATCTCGTCCACTTCTCCCAAGAAAAGAAAAACTCTCCCCGTCTTGTCTCGTCCTCTCCGTCTGTCGGTCTCTCTCGCGTCCACACTGGCAGCAGATGAGCCCCGCGCCACCACCGCTAGCCGCCTCCTCCCTCAATTCGCGTAGCGCCTCCTCGGCCTCTTCCCTAACCCAACGCTGTCAGGATGCCTCGCTGCCATGGGCCGCCGCCGCCGCCCCAGCCAATGGTGGCTGGGCGCACGTGTCAGGGCACCTCAGGTTGTCCTTGGCCGAGCCAAGGGGCACCCACAAGCGCGGCTGGTGCCGGTGGTGCTCGTGCGCCGACGCTCGCCGCTGGCTCCCACCTTGATGGCCGGAATCGATCGGCCCCAGTCTCTCCACATATGTTGCAAACGTATGTTTCGATTGTTTCAGATATTTCGGAGGTATGTTGCAAGTGTTTTATATGGACGTTGTAAAAGTAGATCGGGATGTTGCATATGTTACAATGGTTATACACGTATGTTGCAAGCATCCTGTTTCAAATGTTTCATCTGGTTTTTTTCAGACGTATGTTGCCAGTGTTTTTATTTGGATGTTGCATATGTTTCACATATATGTTGCAAGTGTTTTTATCTGGATGTTGTAATTTTTTTTGCAATGGCTTTTTTCAAATGTTTTCAAGTGTTTATGCATATGTTTCAGACGTGTTTCATGTGTTTTATCTATCTTTAGACGCATGTTACAAATATTTCACCTAGATGTTTTAAAAGTAGATTAGGTGTTGTACATGTCGCATTGTGACTCACCTGCTGCAGCCCTCAAACTTTATATTTTAGATGTAATTTCATCCTTGAACTATTAAAGTGCATTTCAACCTAAAAGTTTACTTTTCTGCTTCCGTTGTTCTAATTTATTAACGTGTTTTTAAGGCCACTACTATAAAAGTCATTGCGTGCAGCATGATGTTTAGAAGATATGTATGGGTACGGTTAAAAAGACAGGTACACACATAGATGGTGTTAAGCAGTGTACAGTGCTTTATAATAATGAGTTTTTTTATTGAGGCCATTGCAGTTCTCCAAATTTAGAGAAACGCCGTTACAATTCACATATTTAAACATCTATCATTATAATTTCAATTCTCCCCATCTACATACAAGGACCCACCGTTAGGCACGTATTATACTACGTGAATGCATACGGGCGTCAAATCCCCATCTCCTCCGTCAGACTGACCCGCCCACGGACGCCTCGCCGCGCTCGCGTCGCCGTGCTCGGATCTCTGTTTCGCCTCGCCGCGCACCTCCGCTCTCGGCGCTGCTCCTGCTACAGTGACCGCGAACGCCGCGCCCCTTTGCCGTGCAGATGGCGGCCGCCGTGGGGTTGGCTAGCTCATACGGATCACCGCCGCCAGCTCATACGGCACACCGCCCTCCCAGAAGCAGAGCACGCGGGCGCCCCAGCGCAACACCGAGAAGGGGCCATGATGCGCCGCCCGCGTCGTGCTCCTCCCGCTTCGCCGTCGTCTCCACGTACCACGCGGAGTAGTACGCTGCGCTGTCTGCGCCAAAGCGGAACGAGCCAAGGTAGCCATGGCCATCGAGCAGGTGCACGGTGGACCCGTGGTCGTCGGCGAACATCCCGGGACCGGCGAGGCGGGTGCACGGTGGCGGCCGCCGTGCGGTGCCAGCCAGCTTCACCATCACCATCGCCACCACCTGTCCGTGGGCGTCCGGCCGGTGCCGCGGCTGCCTGCCAAGTCCAAAATCATCGTCGTGCTGCTGCCGTGGTCCGTCGCCGGCGAACCGCTGAGGCTGGGCGTCGGTCGTCGTGCAGAACGCGTTCGTTTTCACGTATATGCGCTGCAGAGACATGGTGGCGGACTTGCGGTGGAGGCAGTGTTCGGAGAGGGTGTTGGTGTTCGAGACGATGGTCGGTCGTGGCGTGTGCATTGACCGTGCCACGGTTGTGTCAGTGCTGCCAGCTTGTGCACTAGCCAGAGACTTGCACACGGGGAGAGTTCCGCCCGAGGGCCTTGGCCACGTTCGCCGCCGTGCCCTGCGGCTCCGCGTTCGGCTGCATGTCCACCGCGTATGGCTCTTCCCCCGACGGCGTCGCGACGGCCGGCTTGCTGGGCATGAGCAGGGTCACGCTTTCCTTCGTGCCGCAGGCCAGCATGCGCCGATACTCGTACGGCATCTCCGACCAGGACGACGCCGGCGTGCTGCTCCTCGGCCACAGCGACCTCGCCATGGCCACCGTGGAGGAGATGGTGGCGCTGCTGCAGGTGGCCATGGCGTGCGTGCCCACCGCGCCCGACGCGCTCCTCCGTTGCTGCAGGCCGCCGCGGCCGGGACCGGCGAGGCGGGTGCACGGTGGCGGCCGCCACGCGGACGACAACGCTGTGCCTGTGGCCGCGAGAGCATGGTGGCAAGGGTGGTGGTGCACGGCCTCGCTGCGCTCGCGTGCCGGCCGCCGCGGCCGCGCGCCGCCGCTCCACCTCCGGCCCCCACCGTAGCAGCGCCGAGAGCGGAGGTCCGCGGCGAAACGAAGGCGAGATCCGAGGCACGGGGACGCGAGCGCGGCGAGGCGTCCGTGGGCGGGTCTTATAGGTTGTAGGAAACGGAGACCGACGCCCATATGCATTCACGTCTTATACGTCGAAGGCGTAGAAAATGACATAGATGAAAATGACATAGACGAAGAGAATTTGAATTATAATAGCAGATGTCAAAATAGGTGAATTATAATGGCATTTCTCTAAACTCGTAGAATTGTAATGGTCTGAATAAAAAATCCATATAATTTAAGACAAATTTTGTGGTCCATATATATACCTTATATTTTAAGAGGAAGGACCGCAGTCTATATAATTCATTGTGGTTTAAGGTAAACTTTGAATCGATGATACCTTATATTTATATTTTAGAATGGGGGAGTAGTTGCTAAGATGCTACGTGAAATCATGGATGAGCTAGGAGGTTGTAGATTGTAGAACCTATCCTGCTTTCGGCCATAAAAAGGTAGTTACTCGTATTTTCCCTATAAAGAACTACTTCCTAATCTTTTCCCCTTATGCAGGCTGAATCAGGAACACGAATTTAGCTACATGTGCCGGCATTATGTGTGATATCAATGTCAACACAGCTATAGAAGATGTTCACGCCATGTTCGCTTATTGGTTTCAGCCAGGCTTATTCAACCAGCCAACAGTGTTTTTCTCTAAAAAAAATTAGCACTAGTCAGCTCAAACCAAAACCAGCACCGACCAACGAACAGGACCGTTATAGAAAAACATGATTAAGAAGGCTCACTTTTTTAGATCCTTCTGTTTCGCACTGTCTCTTTTTTTTCTTTTTCTTTGCTTACCATGGCTCATGACTGTATAATTGACTACAATATCACGATGCAGTACTTCCTTCACGGTGGAACATTCAGCCACTTCAGTCTACACATTGTGATTCAGCCACTCAAGCCTAAATACCGACACACATTTTAGTGATGTAGGCAAGTAACTTTTATTATGGACTTAAATATACACTATATATGTCTTGATATATATATAGTATTAAAAAAACTAAAACGGTTTAGAGCATCACCAAAAATCTCACTCTCTAAATCATCATTCGAAGAGTCATTTGCATAAAAATCGCTTTCTATATTTTTTTCAACAGTTTTTCTATATCTCATACGCACTTAGAGAGTTATTTTCGTCTTCTATTTTTTGCTAACGAAAAATCTAGAATAGAAGATGTTATATTTGGATAATCATTTAGAGAAGTTGTTGAATGATAGTTTTTTCACCAAAATCTTTATTCCTGACATTTAGAAAAGATCTCTATTTTTGGTATTTAAGAAAGATTTAGAGAGTCTCTTGTAGATGCTATTATAATTCATTAATTTAGAACTAATTTGGATGGGAGGGAGTATTTGCTTTCAGGTATATGTACTACAGTGGTTCATTTCGAGATGATCTGTTAGCGAGTACAAGCAGCTCCGGTTCTTCTAAAGAGCACATGCCTGTCTGTACGGCTGTACATATCAGCATTGTTTTTTTTTTTTTGAGAACTCACATATCAGCATTGTTATTCACTTCATCACTTGTATACGGTGTATGAGCCACGCACTACCACCTGCAGACAATACCATGCCACGTCCGGAACTTCCGTGTCACGAGTACACCCATGACGGCTGGCCGCGGTGGATTGGGTTGGTTCACGGCGCCGGCGCCACGGCGACGGCGGAGACCATGCTGTCGACGCCGCAGACGTTGCTGCCGCGGCAGAGGCGGTAGTACCCTTGCTCCCCCCACTGCTTCCCCCACGAGTTCTTGATGATCCAGTAGGGGCGGTAGCCGAGCCGCAGCGCCGCGAAGCCGCGCGCGCCGTAGCCGACAAGGAGCACGCCGTGGTTGACCCACGCGCGCGGGCAGAGGAGCGGGCACGACACCCCGCCCACGTACGTCTGCATGAACGCCGCGTTGAGCCCCACCGCGAGGGGCCCGCGCCGGACCAGCGCCGCGCGGATCTGGGCCTCGTCGCCGGTCGGCACGGCGGTGAAGTTGGCCACGCGGACGGCGGCCTGGGCCGGGTCGAAGCTGCAGGGGCCCGGCACGCCCGTGTACGGGTACGCGCGCTGCTCCATCAGCCCGCCGGACTTCATCAGGTACGCGTACGCGTTGGTCATCAGCTCGCCGGCGCAGCCGTTGTTGCACTCGTTCTGCGCCACCGCGCTGCACTGGAACATACAGACCAAACCAGCATGCTCTAAGAATCCTTCGTCGAACTGGACGAATTCATTCCAAGTGGGAAGACATCGAGAGAGCGCAGTGATGCATGTACGGTGTGGTCGCAGTCGACCAGCTGCTGCTCGCTGAGGTCGAGGAGCTTCCCTGTGGCGAGGAAGTTGGCGCCTTCCACCGCGCCTGTCGTGGTGAACGCCCAGCACGACCCACACGCGCCCTGCATCTTGACGCCGGTGACGGCGCCCTTGTCGCGCCAGTCGAAGCTGGCGGGCAGCCGCGCCACCTCATCCTGCGAGGCTGACGCACCACTCATCACGATCCGCTGGACGTCCCCGCTGGCGCGCACGCCCGTGAGGCGCGCCTCAAACTCCTCCCGCGTGAGGTCGGAGAAGGGCGTGACCCCGTGGCGCGCGGTCGGGTCCAGCGCCTGGTGCGCCGCCGCGAGGGCCAGGTTGGCCGCGAACACGCGCAGCCGACGCGCTTACTCCTCGGGCCCGGAGTACCGCCGCCCGTGCCGCCTCACGAACGCCGCGAACTGCGCCTCCGGGAGCAGCCCCGGGCCCGCGCCGGCGCGGGAACGACCATCCGTCACCTGCCGGATGAATCCGCCGTCGTCGGCGGACGCGCCGGCGAGTGGTAGGAGCAGGATGAGGACGACGGCAAGGTGGGACGCCATGGTTGCGAGATTCTTTGGCGGTCGAGTGTGCTGAGGCAGACAGGCGTCGTCAATAAGCGAGGGAGGCGAGCGAAGTGGCAGCCATGCAGGCGGGAGAGGTGGACGCCTGTCTCCTCGCGGAACGGCGGCGACGGCGCCGAGCGACACGTGCGTGTGCGTTGTTCTTTGGTCTCTTTGGGCGTTTGGTTCGGCGCCACGACGTCTGAAAGCCATAGTTCTGTTCCTACGTTCATTACCTTTGCATAACCTGGTTTTGAATCATGGGGCTGTAGAGGTAAAACAAGAGGAAACACCTATCAAAAAAAAAGAAGAGGAAACAGGAGCAAAGCATGATGACATAAGGGTATTCAAATCTTTATAGACTGTATTTGGGACATATTTGGAAGAGTAAAATCCGATTTAATCCGTGAACTAGTCGTTGATTTTGAAAGACCCTCTTGAACTATAATATTGGACAACATATCTTATCTATCCCTAGTACTAATAAGGAGGCAAAGTTTCTGCCTCAAAATCTTTCGTCCAGCAGTGTTTGGATCCGGCTACTAAAATTTAGGAGATGTGTCAGAAGAATGTTGCATGGGGTGTTCGGATACTAATAAAAAAATAAATTACATAATCCATCAGTACTCCACGAGACGAATTTTTTAAGCCTAATTAATCCGTCATTAGCAAATGTTTACTGTAGCAAAACGTTGTCGAATCATAGACTAATTAGGCTTAAAAGATTCGTCTCGCAAATTAGTCGTAAACTATGTAATTAGTTTAGTCTATATTTAATACTCCATGCATGTGTCCAAACTGACCACGACTAAAATTTAGGAACTGGTGTCGGTGATTAAGGGGCAACCAAAAACCCTCTTAATATCAACACCAGTTCGGTTTCTTTTTTTTCCACATCTGAATAATTTTTCCTTTTCGATTCGTTTTCGTTTTTCTGGACTAAAATCAAATACGCCAAACAGAACCAAAATCAAATACAACAATGCTGCAAATCGAATCAAACCACTGAGTAAACAGAACTTGCCCAAGTTACCATGTCGTACAGATCTCCAACTCAAACAAAAATCAAATACTCCAAACTGAACCAAAATCAAATACAACAATTTGAATGAAACCACAGAGTAAATAGAATTAGATGATAAATTCTCCACTTTATAACCCCTGCTCCTGTCACGCAAGGCTCGGGAGTCAGGAAATCACAAATCTAAAGACAAATATAGCATCTTGAATCAAATCCTTCTCAGGGCCACCTGGGCTGGTGCTCCGTTTGCCTTAGGTGCCTTGGTGCTCCGTTTGCCTTAGGTGCTCCGTAAGTTCACAACATCACAAAGCTACACCATTTTCTGAAAGATGTTGCAACATCCTGACAAGTTCAAATAAAGCACAAATCCTGACATAAATCAGATGCACAAGGGTATAACAGTTAATCAACATTCCTCCGCTCCACCAACACCGTGACAAGTTCGACAAAATGACTGACAAATGCCTAAGTTCTCATCACACGACGCTACGCCCGGTTCTCAGCTCATACATAATATTTCTTCTTGCAGCTTCACCCATTACGATTGGCAGGTGCATTCTCGTCTTTCCTGCGGACCTCAAAAGCTTGAGGCGGCGGCGCCATCTAGGGCTGTCCTCTGGCAATGACATCTCTTAGCTTTTTCAGATTAGCTATGCAATGAGGTCGATTCCAATGTTTATTACTGTCTGCTGACCATGAGTGAGGTCGATTCCAATGTTTATTACCGTCTGCTGAAACCTCATTGCGCCATGAGTGAGGTCTTTTAGATAAAGGTGCAGCGCCGGGCCCGCCATTTCTTCGACAATTTCACAGTTGCGCGCGCCCTATATATCGATCTTTTCTGTGGAGTGCTAAGTAGCAGTAGCTCCGTTTCAGTATTGATATCGCTGACAGATTTTTTCTTGAAAGATCAATTCAGATTGATTTGGTGGCGTGAATTGGCCTTTTTATTTGGGCTTCGGTTCGGTGGTAGCCTAGGTAGCATCAGTGAGTACCGATGGGTGGCTTTGCAAGTCTGAAACTTCCAACGCCAAACCAGACGCAAGTGCCTAGTTTACCAATTAGCTCTGTAGTTAGGATAAAAAAGTTAGCTTTGTAGTTACCAATTAGCATTTAAGTTTATCTTTTGTATTTCATTATCTAAGTAGTGAACTTGTGTATAAAAATCATTTAATATTTTAAGTTGAATCTATTGTGAATTCGTGATTTCGTAATTTTATACGTAAGTTATACAATATATTCATCTGCATTGCTTGTCACTGGTAGCTTCGCGTATTGTCATGCCCAGGCTTTCAAAAATTCATGGCTACGCCACTGCTGCTGACCATGAGTTCTTGGGTCCTAGGGTTGAGTCGAAGGACCAACGATAGATTGATGGATGCATCTAGCAAGCTTAGAGTGGAGGATGTCGAGCTCCTTAAGATGGTTGGAACTGGGATGGTGGGTGAAGGAGGACCTTCAAGATGGTATACTGAAGATGTGGCGCTGATAAAGTTTTTGGAATGTATTCAAAAGAATAAGATAGAGGCTTTGAAACACTTTGATATGAAAATGGTAAAAGAACGGATTCTGAAATTAGAAGGGATGGTCATAGATTACCATGTAAGTAAGCAGTGAAATCCATATCATAGTCCGAAACTTATTTTAGTCCTAGGGATGGTCACAGATTACTGACCTTGTTTTTTTGTTTATGCAGGTTGGAAAGAGATCTACTCTGCCCAATCAGCATCAAATGCTTTATGTGTTCAGCCATATCAACAGTGAAACGGAGCTTGTCCCCTGCACTCCACAGGAAACTTCTAATTATAGGAAAAGAACTGTGATTCGGAAGAAATGGTTGACGCTGCACCTTTATCTAAAAGATCACATTCAGAGAGTGTTGATATGGCTATGTATATGAACCGGGGAGGATCTGCAGCGCACATGATGGACAGACGCATAAGTATGGAAGCTGTTACTGAAAAAGCTAAGAGATGTCTTCCAGAGGAGATAATCGATGCTGCTCTCAAGCTTTTGAGGTCCGATTTAGAAATACGTCAGCAATTCATGTCTTTCCGTAATGATGATGCTGCAAGAAGAAATATTACGTATGAGCTGAGTAACCGTTAGCTGTGTGATTTGAACTTAGGCATTTGTGCTTGTGTTGTGAACTTGTCAGGATGTTGGTGTAGCTGTGTGATGTTGTGAACTGTTATACCCTTGTGCATCTGATTTATGTCAGGATTTGTGCTTTATTTGAACTTGTCAGGATGTTGCAACATCTTTCAGAAAATGGTGTAGCTTTGTGATGTTGTGAACTTACGGAGCACCAAGGCACCTAAGGCAAGGGAGCACCAGCCCAGGTTGGCGAGATTGGAGGCCACCAGGGCCGCGTCGTCGGCGAAGGCCGCGACGGCGGCAGTGAGGCGCACGAGGCGGCGGCGGCGGCGCTCCGCGACGGCAGGGTGGTGGGCCTCAGGCCGGCGCGGGAAGAGATGAGGCCGGGTGGAAGACCGCCGCGGAGAGGGACAAGGAGACCGCCGCGAGGAGGCCGGCGTGGATGCCTGCAACGGAGAAGCGGGGGAGGATCGGCGTGGGGAAGGGCAAGGCCTGCGCTGTGAGGGGTGGAGGCTGGCGCAGGGCCCTCCGAGGCGGCGTGGGGAGGGGCGGAGGAGGCCGGCGGCGACGATTCCAAACCCCTCCGAGCGATGTGGGAATATGCTGCTGTGTGAAGAAAGAGCGTGCACATGTAGAAGGGATAAGGTAGAGAAATAGATAGAAAAAAATTAAGAAAGAAAAGGAAAAAAAGATAGCTAAAAAAAGTGGGTATTAACGACATTTTCTCCTTTTCAATAGCTATGAGAAGTCATTTGGCAAATGTTTTTTTTTATAAAGGCTTATGCTCTCTCTGTAGAAGCTACTCCTTCAAAAGAGCAAGAGTCGAAGCTGTATTTTTGGATGAGACAGATCCCTACCAAATAGGTCTTTTTTGTGGGAGCGCGTGACCACGACGTAGATAATGGTGCGAGGGCCCGCGGCAGTTCCTGAGTTGGGCTCCGGGCTCCGCCCGATATGCACTATAAAGTCATGTTGGATAAGTCCAGGACTCCTATATATATGCATACTCATGAAGTGTGTGCCATGTTTTTTTCCGGCCCACATCTTTTATCTAGGTGATAAATAGATGACTAAGTTTTGAATGATTTGAGATAAAATTTATTTAGGGATAAATACAAGCTTAAATCTATATTTATATCTTTGCCTGAGCATTGTTTTTGTTGGTAGGAAAATATACGTTTATTTCGAATTTATACATTGTATTTAATTTTCATTTCCTTTTATGAAGATTGTATATTCGATTTGGAACAAGCAACACACTTTTTAAAAAAAATGCATAATTTGCAAGTCACACGAACAGCTCTTACATCTTATTATTTAATAATTTATATGCACTTATAGTCTATTTTATTGTATTTTTTCATATATATGAGATAGAGTGGAGTTTCTCTCATATCTTTGTCTCTCTATTTTTTTCAAAGAGAGGGCCACGTTGAAAATTGAAATAGGTAGCATTGGATTTATCAAGAATTGGCGATTAGAAATGTTAATAATTTCTATGCTGCAAATTATAAGTCATTGCTCCTTTCTTTTTTAAGAGATTAAAATCATAATTGCTTAATTGTCTCGAACTCATGAGCTGTATTCATGCGAATTAGATAGCATATGTCCAACCAACGTACGGACTCCGATTCTGAAGCGTATTAGAACAAATGACACAAGATATAAATCCCGTTGCAACGCACGGGCATATTTGCTAGTAACTTTTAAAACCAGGGAAAATACCCCTTAACCATTTCAAAGTGATTTCTTGAATGGTTTTGCTACCGCGACAGTGGGGCCCACTTGTCATTTGATCTTTCTTTACCTTATATATATAAAGCATTAATATTTCATATGGAGTCATATGGATACAAACTTTATATCAAAGTTATAGTGCTCGACGCAATTCATAACTTTGTAGTTTATAACTTTTCTATTGAATGAATTTTAGAGGCTCAAATATTCATTTTTAAGTTACCATACTTTGAAATTCAAATTTCTAAACTTTTCAAATGATCTCGGATGTTAACATAGTCTATACCAAAGTTATAGTTCTTAGTAAGATCTATAACTTTGTTGTTGACAAGTTTTTATCTGATCACTTAGAGCCCAAATAGTTGTCTCAAGTTCTCTAATTTGAAATTCAATTTTCTTTTGAAATTTTCTAATGGCCTCTAATGTTGATGTAGTTTACACCAAAGTTGTGGATTTCAACATGATCTATTACTCTATAGTTAAAAAAACTTATTTATTTGATATCGTTTAGAGACCTAATTTTTCTTCTTTTGAAAAAAGTCAAAGAAATTGCATTTCAAACAAAAGAATTTGAAATGAATATTTGGGCCTCTAGATGACTACAAATAAAAATATTATCAACTATAAAGTTGTAGAACATGTTAATAGCTGCAACTTTAGTGTAGACTATGTCAACATCAGTGGTCGAAGTTGGTGCTCGAAGCACAGATTTGATCTAGAACAAATTTCTGACTGCACTTATCGCCTACTGGCAGATCTGGCGAACTAAGGCAAAACCACCGGTTGCGTGCAGGTGCAGCTCACTACCAATCTAATCGTCGTTGGTGCTCGAAGCACAGATTTGATCTAGAACAAATTTCAGATCGTATCGGAACGTGGATCAGATCGCAAGTCGCGACGAATTTCAGATCGCATCGAAACGTGGATCAGATCACAATTCGCGTAGGTAAATCAGGTTTGGAGGTTTGGATTAGTTTCTCTTAGAAAACTCATTTTAATATATATTTTACCCTTTAATAGGTCCTTACCACCAACACAAAATCTGCGGCTAGCTAGCCGGGATGCTGTGAGGTGTATATAGAAGATGGCTACGGACGAGGGTGCATGCGAGCAGTGTCGCCGAAGCAATTTGGCTTCAACATGCTGCCGTGTGGGGCTTGTTCGTCGGAGTCGCCGGGTCTGCCACCGCGCTGACGGAGTAGACCGCATCAGTGCCTTGCCTGACGACCTACTACTACGGGTCCTCTACTCCTCTCTTGCCTAGGTTGCGCTAGTGCCGCCGCCAACATGAGCCTACTCTCTCACAGGTGGCGCCCGCTCTGGACCCACCTCCCTAGGCACAACATCCATGACATCTCGCCAGGCCAGCTTGAAATGGCGCTCGCTCGGGTCGCCTGCCCCGCCGGATCTATCGACATCTCCATGCCCATGCGCCACATGCTGTTAATCACAAGGTTTGGGTTTCGACTAGTCTCTAAATAAAAAAGTTAACGACTGACGACAACGATTCCTAATGTAGCTTGAAGCATGCTAAATGCTAATCAACCGATACAAACGCTGGAATTCACATAAGGGTACTCCTGGACGGTGTCGATGAATATGTTGTACCAGTCATTAGTGACCTCGTCAGACAATTTCAGGGTCATCGTCTGAAGCATCGGTGCACATCTGGAGAGCATTTTGAGGAAATCGATTTCATCATCACCACCTTTGAATCCTTTGATCTGCACTTCTGTGAGATTGGCCAAGGAGATTGTAGTTTTAGTTCTCCATTTCCTATTATTCTCCTGACAAGGACACCATTTGTCGCAAGAGTCTGTCACTTGCACCTAGAACAAAATGTACCATATAATATATTAATTACACTGCAAATACACGATCATTAGACGTATTTAAAGAAGAGTAGATAGGTACCGGGGTATCCACAAGAACCATGTCAAGCCTTTGCACTGCAGTGCAAATCCGAAGCAGGTTCAACAGCAGTGGTCCAAGAACATGGCTCCGTGTTGCGATCTTCAGCTCTAGGGCAGAGAAGGTGGTAACAGGGATTTTCTCCAGTTCTTCTGCAAAATCCCTCTGTGAAGGATAAGGGGTCTACAAAACAATCGGGCAGCATGCAATTTAGAAACCAGTTAAAAGTCCACGAAGCTAGCTAGCTAGGAAATCAATGAGCACGAGAGCCTGAGACGAACGTCAAGTATGTCCAGCGACAGGACATGGGCACGACGGGGCTGATGGCTACCCTCGTCGTCGTCGTCGTCGTCGTCGGTGAGCTCCATCTTCTCTACCGTCCGTACGTTGATGGACCCGACGCGCCACATTTTGCCAATCCCAACATACATGGAGTAGTACAAGCACCGCCAAGTGACCTCCTCCACAATTGGTGCCACCACCGACAAGCTGTTGTCTATGCCCCTGTCCAAGGCCAGCGTCAGCTTCCTGAGCGCGGGGGCCACGATGTCGATGGTGGACGTGGACCGGAACGTGCTCACGACGAGCTCGTGGAGCGACGCCGAGTGCACCGTGATCGTGTCCACCTCGTCCGGCGTCCTGGTGACGCTGAGAGCGCGCAGGAGCGGGCAGCGGGGCACCAAGGTGGCCAGGTCCATGATGCAGCCCGAGAGGGACAGCGTCTCCAGCTTGGGGAACTCCGTCGCCGCCGACAGGGCAAAGCGGACGTCCTGCACGTCCAGCTCGATCGATGTAGCGAAATCGAAGCGCGGCAGTTCGATCCATGTGGTGACACGGAAGTGGGGAAGGTCGACCGGGATGGTGAGGGCGAGCTTCACCGGCGACCGATCCGCGGCGGCGTGGAGCAAGGAGGTGATGCTGCCCGCGTCCAGCGCGCGATGTCCCGTGCCCCTGGAGACGTGGATGTCGATGGCCTCCAGCGAAGTGCGGGTGACCCGGGCGAGCGCCGCGTGGATCGCGTCGGGCGCGAGCCCGCGGAAGGAGACCTCCAGGAGGCCCGGCCAGACCCGGCGCCACCGGCGGGCGAGAAGGGCAGTCCGCGCGGCGGTTCGGGCGCAGCGGAGGCGGGTGAGGACCTGGAGGAGCAGGTCGTCCGGGAGTGCGCTGATGCGGTCCACCCGGCTCTGGGACCGTGTCAGACGGCGAGGCCCGGGCGGCGGCGCGCCACGGCGTCGGCCTACCATCGCGGCCCAACTCCCAAGGCGCGAGCAGCCAGCTCCGTCTCCCTCTGCGAATCACTGCAGCGTCACTTTCACACAATAGGGCTGACCGGCTGACCCATTTTGAATCTCAAGAAGAAAAGCTTCGGCTCCTGCTACACCAGTGGCGGAAGCCTGAAAGACTGAAATTTTATGAAGCCAGACGATTGCCATTACGTAGAAATATAGGTTTTCTTTGATATATAAAAATAAAAAATCAATTTGCCTATAAGATCGGACCACCAGCCAGGATCGTCGGGCAGTGGCTCCACAACTGTGCTATCCAGTGGTAACAAGTAGAAGAAAGCGGTGAACCTCAAAATGAAGTTGTCTTTGGCTTTTAGCTTTTGGCTTTTGGCTTTTGCATAAGCTAATTTTCTCTCTCAAGACCAAAATGAACTTGCAAGTAGAAGAAGGCAGTGAACCCAGCCCAAGGGGGGCTTCATTGACTTCTGCTACAATAGTGACACAGTGTACTAAAGAAGCCAGCTACAATAGCGGCCGAAGCTAGAGCTATCAGAGCTCAACCAAATAAACCTTAAACTGCATCCCCTCGATTTTTAGAATTAGGCACACTAATTTCCTCCAAAGGGGTCTATTTGTCTCCATGACCGAAAAAATTGATGCAAACCACCGCAGTCTCAACAACTGACCCTCGGAGGAATTAAGGAATGAAAGTGACAGTGGCAGTAGTCTAAATTGCTGACTGAATTAGTAAGCAAAGTGAAAGTAACAAATCAAGTTTATGAGGAAGGATACGATAACAAGAGTCTACTAGTGAGACAAGAGGAGGGTTTGATAACATCGCGTCAAAAAGGAAAAAAAGAGAAAAGTTGCTTCAGAAGAGGAAAAAAAGGAAAGAAAAATTAAAACATACCGTATCAATCTGCGTTTCCTCTCCCCTCGCCTTCCTCCAAATATGATGACCTCAAGTGAGTCTTTGGGCTGATTTGAGGGTAGGGACCGGCCGGGATCTAGCGAGCTTCGAGAGAAGCCTACGGCGACAGACCACTTAGGCGCCCGGGCTGTCATGAAGACGATTCTAGTGAAGACGGTTCACATGGCAACAGATCAGGCAATGGGAGCCACCAAAGGGAGGGAAAAAAGGTGGGGCACGGGCAAGAGGATTGTGAAAATGGATGGCAAAGGTGAGAAAATAGGTTATTGGGGCCAAAAAGACAACAAAACTCACCGGAGAGAGCGAATCGTTGTCGAGGATCAACGCGGAGAGGCGTTTCTTCGATGGCGGTGGTTCTCGCCAAGTTGAAAGGGGAAATGTCACGGTCCGAAAACCCTCCCTGGCGTTAGGGGCGGCAGGGAACGGATTTGGGGCCGGTTTGGAGGGGAAGGAGAGGAGATTGGCGTGGGAAGGGGCGGCTACGGCTAGGGCAGGCACTGGCGGGCCGAGGGGGGCATCGTGAGGCGCTGCCCACGGCGCAGCGGCCCTGGCGACCGGTGGCGTGGCACAGCTAGAGGCTTGGCGGCGGCGCACCAAGCAGGGAAGCGACGACGGTAGGGGAGTAGGGAGAGGGAGAAATAGGTTTAACCACACAACTAGCTTTCCTCTTTCATTGTTCATCCCTCATATATATAGAAGGAGGTCTACATGTTAATGGGCTCTGGCCCACGGGCTCTATTTAACTCATTTAACCCAATCTTATTATAATTAAGGACTTTATCCCTTTCAATCTAAATTACTTCCCTAGCCACCTTGACGACTTCTGGTGATACTTCTAGTAGTCCTCCTGTCGGGTATGACATCTCCCCCTACCTGGAGAATTAGCTCGTCCTCGAGCTGGAATTTGGGGTAGAGCTTTTGGAATGTCTCTGCGTCCTCCCAAGATGATTCAATTGAGGGCTGGGTTTTCCATTTGATGAGTACCTGTAGTCTGCCACTGATCACACGGTTTCTAAGCATGAGTTCAGGTTCCGGGATGGCTATTCCGTCATCGATCATTGGTATGGGCAGTGCTGTTGTTGGAGGAATTCCCCGGTGTTTCTTGAGTTTGCTGACATGAAAGGCATTGTGGATTCTGGCGTCTTCTGGTAACTCAAGTCTGTATGTCACTGGGTTTATTCTTTCACTTATCTGATATGGTCCAAAATACCTTGGTGAAAACTTCACTTTTTTCATTTTTGAGATGGCTACAGCAGATCTTGTCATTAGATTCAGCCATACCCAGTCGCTGACTTCAAAAGTTCTATCCGTGTGGTGTTGATTGTAGTGTTTGGTGTGAAGTCCTTGGATTGCTTAAGTCGAACCTTGGTCATCTATAGAAATTCATCTCTTTCTCTGAGCATCTCATCTATGGATTTGGATCTTTGTGTCCCCTAGACTGTAAGTTTTAATTGTTGGAGGATCTCTGCCATTAACTAGTTTGGATAGGGTGATATATATTGAGGCTTGGTAATTGTAGGGTCGAGATGGTTAACTAGAGGGGATTGAATAATCATTTCTAAAATTAATCATGCCAGTTAACCGAAACAAATACAGAATTAAAACTATCGGTCTAGTCAAGGCTATACCCCTCTATCTAAGTTCATAAGCACCTTATAAAGAACCTAATTAGGCAACAAAGGTATCGGGCTAGCTAGAACTCATCTAAACAATTATAGTAGCAAGGTCATACAAATCTATGCAACTAGTACTCAAGCAACCGGGAGAGCTCCTACACAAACTAGTAAGCAAAAGCGTAAAGCTCATAAGCTCACTAGCAATGGTCAATAGCAAGGCTACACAAAAGCCAAATTAGAGAACTCAATTTAATTAGCTACACAAACTAAGCAATGTGACTAACAATGATACTCAAACTAATTAGTCACGCAAGAGAGCTACTTCTATGCTACACAAGCAAGAAGGTAACTAGCAAACTACATAAGCTAACTAATTACAAGAGCAACTGCACAAGCACAATAAACATGAATGTAAATACAAGCTTGTGTATAGGGATCGCAAACCAACGGGAAGAAGATGACACGGTGATTTTTATTCCGAGGTTCACGTGTTTGCCAACACGCTAGTCATCATTGAGACAAGCTCCAAGGTTGTCGCCGGTCCTCTTACTAGTAATGACCTGCAAGCCACACTCTCCCACATGGAGTGCTTACCACAAGCTCTAACACTTGATCCGGCCGGACCACTTGTCGCTCTTCATGTCTTACTCTACTATTGTTGCTCTTCACGGCTCCCGTGGGGCGAGCACAACACCCCTGATAATTTCTCCAGAGCACCGCACAAGCTTCCTTGCATGCTTCGACGGAGATCACACCACCAAGCCATCTAGGAGGTGGCAACCGCTAAGAATAACAAGCACCACCGGCTTGCAACTCGAACACATAGTGCCACTCGATGCAATCTCACAATACAATCGCACTAGAATCACTCACTCGCAATTGATTCGTACTCTTGCAAGCATGAGTGAGTTAGAGACTCTCCTAGCACTCCCCAAGCATGGACACTAAGTTCCAAGGGTGCCAAGCATCATCCAAGGCCATAAACACACTCCTTTTATAGCCCAAGGGCTAAAATGGCCGTTACCCTCTTCATCCTGATTTCTGCGCACTGACTGGACTCGCTGCTGCAGTGACCGGATGTGTCCGGTCGCAGAGTCCGATCGCACAGGACACATTCGATCGTAGAGTCTAGTCACCGCCGCATGCCACGTGTACTAGCTGTTAGAATGTTACCGTTGGGTGCCAACGGCTCCCAACGTGCGCACAAACAAACTCCGTGTCCGGTCGATCGACCGGACTCGCCATCACCCAGCATCCGATCATGAACAGAGAGGTTCCAGAGAGATTTTTTCATCAACCAGACTCACCACAGCGTCCGGTCACACTGCCTCAGCATTTCTTGGCCCGGAACAGTGGCACAGGCGCGTCCAGTCGCGCCCTAGTGCCAGCGTCTGGTCGTACCCACTAATCAGCCCTAACAGGAACACTGACCGGACTCGCGGGTATTGATCGGGCTCGTCCGGTCACATCGTCCGGTCACTGAGTGTTCAACGCTAGAACGACTATAACTCTTAGCTTCGAAGTCCGATTTTGATGATCTTAGACATTTTGGAAAGCTTATGTAGAGGGCTACACATTCCACTTGCATATTTGATCCAAAGCATAGTGGATCAACACAAAATTTCAATCCAAGAATCATCCCTTCTCTTTTTCAACTCAAGTTTCTCTAAAACTTCTCCAACTTCTTCTCCTTTGTAAATGTGCCAACACCACCAAGTGTACACCGTCAAGTGCAAGTGTGTTAGCATTTTCACAAACATTTTTCAAAGGATTAGTCACTCAATTCACCACGCCACTCGATTCTAGGAACGATGCAAAGTTAGATCACTCGAGTGGCACTAGATGACCGATATGCAAACAAGTTTGCCCCTCTTGATAGTACGGCCATCTATCCTAAACTCAATCATGTACTTCTGTACGCAACCTATCACCAGTGAAATGAAATGCCCTATATGTTATACCTTTGCCTTGTGCATTGCATTCCATCTCCTCTAATGTCGATGAAACATATGCACCAACATGACCAACGAATGATATGATCCACTTCATATCATCACATGACCTTATTGGTTCATCGATCTTGACCTCACTTGCTCTTCACCGTTGCCTTCATCCATCGGTGCTAAGTCTTGCTCAAGTTTCACCTCCACGCGATCTATCGCTATAAAGCCTGCAACTTGCCCTTCATGCTTACAACCGATCCATCAAGTCAAATCTTGTATTGATCTTCTCCACCTTAGTCACATGACTCAATGTCATGTCTCATATGCAGTGAGCTCCTTCATTACATGTGTGAGTCTTGCAACAAATCCAAGCCATCTTCACCGTCATGGCATGAGTTGCTCACACACGTTGTTGGCATTCCTTAGCATCACCTTAATACTAAGTTGTCATCCCTAGCAATGATGTCAGAAATGCGTTGGTTGGTAATTATTAATGACACTTGTGTCGATGCGGGACCCACAGGATAC